AGTGATTTGAGTAGGACCAAATAAGTCGAGATGCAAAAGTTCTAAAGGTTTGGAAGTAGATACACACTTCTTTGGTTTAAAAGAAACTTTTGTTTGCTTTCCAAATTGACATGCATCACAAATTTTATCCTTTTCAAAACTGATTTTTGGCAAGCCTCTAACAAGCTCCTTTTTCGAAATTTCCTTTAGTAAATCCATGTTAAAATGACAAAGTCTCCTATGCCACAACCAAGGATCTTCATTTGAAACTTTAAGACATTTTAAGCTAGATGAATCAATTCTATTAAGAACCACAATATATATGTCATTGAACCTCTTACCTTTGAACACAACATTATATTTGGAATCAAGCACAATGCATTCATGCTTTTTAAACAACACATTCAAGTATTTATCACACAATTGACTAACACTAAGCAAGTTATAACTTAAGTTATCAACTAAGAGCACATTATGAACAAAAGTTTCACCATCCTTACCAACATCACCTATTCCAATTGTCTTAGCTTTCACATCATCACCAAATGTCACTTTTTCACTTGATTTTGATTTCAGCTTTATGAACAAAGAGGGATCACCGGTCATATGCCTTGAGCAGCCGCTATCAATAAACCATTTGGACTTGTTTGAGCATTTTTCCTGAAAAGAGAAAGTGTTTGGTACCCTTTTTAATTTTTGGGTCCACAATAGTTAGCATTGTATCTAACTAATCACATGCATTTCATCCCTTTGTTCAGATTTCTTTTCACATAGCAATCTCCTTTCAAATGCCCTTTTTGACAACAAAAACCACACATAATGGAAGAGTCCTTAACATGTACTGGTTTGACATATCTCAATCCACCTCTTCTATATGTTGTGAAACCATGTGCATTTTTGTTGTGTGCAAATGTTCTTTGAAAAGCAGTAAGATGGGTAGATGACATGTTCCTTTTGATAAAATCCTGCTTTCTTGCTTTCAAAGTTTCATCCAAGTTGTCCATTCTTTTTTTCAAATCACCATGTCTTTCCTTTAGTATTTCACAAATATTTGTCTTTCTATCAAACTCATTTTGAACATCACATCCGGCTCTTACAAGACTTTCATTGTCAGTTTTTAGTTGTTTATTTTGTTGAAAAAGACTTGTATTTTCTTGAATGAGAAAAGCCATTTTCTGTTTTAACTGCTTGTTTTTATCATAAGATTCCTTCAAGGCATTATGCAGTTTTTCAACAAAGGATTCAAGATCATCATCTTGATCATCATCACTTTCAGATTGAGAGTGTGTGGAAGTTACCTCATTATTTCCAATAGCCATGAAGGTCATTTGCGCTGATTCTTCCTCTTCTTCAACTTCCCCTTCGGAGTTACATTCATTCCAAGTAATCTGGAAGTTGTTGAATCTTGGTTTTTGATCAGTTTTATCATCTTTCATTTTCTTCATGGGACATTCGTTTGCATAGTGTCCAGGTTGTCCACATTCATAGCATTTGTCCACTTGCTTCTTGTTGAATTCTTGTTTTCCTTTGTTCCTCGCATTTGATGAATAATTTTGAAATTGATTGCTAGGTCCTCCCTTTCTAAACTTCCTTTTATTCAAGATTCTCTTGAAGCCTCTTGTGATGAGAGCAAGATCATTATCATCACCATCCGAGTCTTCATCATCCAAGTGAGCTAGATCATCTTCACCTTGAGTAGTCTTTAGAGCAATATTTCTCTTTGCTCTAACATCCTTTTCCTCCTGCACTTTAGATTTCAATTTCAGCTCATAAGAGGTTAGTGAGTTAATGAGAGATTCTATAGGCACAGATTTAAATCCTTCGTCTCCTCTATTGCAGTTACTTTATTTTCCCATTCTTTGCCCAACGCATTGAGAATTTTCCTGTTCTTCTCTCCCAAGGTGTACTCTTTGCCCAACACCTCGAGATCTTTGATCAAGTCGTTGAACCTGCAATACATTTTGTCAATATCCTCAAGAGGTTCAATTTTAAATGATTCATACTTTGTGACCAAGATAGCCTTTTTCTGTTCTCTCACATTGTCACCACCCTCATGGATTTCTCTTAGCTTGTCTCACATTTCTTTGGCCGATTTACAGCCTTTTACTCTAATTGATTCATTTGAATCTAAGGCACTATAAAGAACATTCATGGCCTTGGCATTCAATGTGAGGTTAGTCCTATCTTGAGCATTCATTTCAACTCTCATTTTTTGCCGAAGCAAACCTGTATCTGCATCAAGAAAGTTAGCTTCATGCGGTCCTTCACTCACAATAAACCATAGTTCAATATCAATAGATTGCAAAAAGATAATCATCCTTTCTTTCCAACTAACATAATTAGAGCCACTAAACATGGGAGGCCTAGTAACAGATTGCCCCTCAACAAACATAGCATGACTGGTTGTCATCTTTACTCCAAGCCGTTAGAGCTTAATCTCTAGGAGACCAAGCTCTGATACCAATTGTAAGGCCCAAAGACAACCTAAGAGGGGGGTGAATTAGGTTGATTAAAATCTTAATCAAATTTTTACACTTTTTCTTTAATAAAAATTTACCTTCTTTTCTAGTAATGATCAAACAAGTAGATTAGAAGATGAGAGCAATATTGATCAGAAAAACAAGTATAGATAAGCAATGAGAATTTTATTAAACAAAAAGTAAGATAGAATATCAAGCCGATTGTCTACCAAGCTTTCCTCAAACTTGAAGACTAATCACAAGGTTGATCAACTTCTCTTTGATGAAAGATGATCAACTAGATGTACAATGGAGGGAGCACTTCCTCCTTGCCCTAAGCCTCACTTAGTCAAGCTAAGAAGTTTTACAATCACTCAGATAACCCTCAACAAAGCTACACTAATGAAACTTTCAACCACAAGAGAAAAGCTCACAAGAAATTCACACCACTTAGAGAACAAATCTAGCTTTGGAGACTATTTTCTAGCTAAAATATCTCTTGAGATCTTGTAAACAAAGTGTGCAAAAGTCCATCGGTTCAGAACAGTTTGTTTTTAAAGGGGACCAAAAATGGGCTTCATTAATGCTTCCAACGGATAGAAGGCAGATGAAGAGTCAGCTAGCCGTTGGGGCTTTCGGACGTCCGACGACCAAATCATCGTCCGAACCAATCGTCCGAAAACAGCCAAGTTGAAGTTCGGACATCCGATGAGTTTTTATCGTCCGACAGCACAGCATCCGATCGTTGGCAGAGAGTTGGCAAGTCATCTTGGAATTTTTCGGACGTCCGATGCGGTTGATATGCGTCCGAGGTGTGTGTCTGATCCTTCCGGACGTCCGATGCTTCCTTATGAGCGCCCGACAAAGCTTCCTTCTTGATGTTCTTTATTCTTTCGGACGTCCGATAGATTCCTTTCAGCCGTCCGACATGAGTGTCCTGTTTTTGCTTCTTCTTTTGGTTGATTTGCATTTCATGACATATTCGTACCTGATTCTTTGATAGGCAAAAACACTTATATTTGAAGAAAGTTAGATAAACATTTCAAAATACTTTGTGATCATCAAAACCAAGAATAACAAAATTGTCACACTTAAAAGACAGTATCTTTGATCGGAACAAAATAATGACTAAATTCGTTTATATTATTCCAATCCTGTTTGCCATATCCAAAGCATCGTAGTCTGGAGTCAATCGAACATATGCTTTCTTTGTTCCATCAGGCCTGATCAAAGTGTTCACTTTCTTGGTCTGTATTTCTTATGTAAACATTTCAAATTACTTTGTGATCATCAAAACCAAGAATAACAGTTGCTTGTTTCAAAATTTAATTTCCGAAGGCTCGTTTAGTGAAAATAGTGAATACGCGATTGGAATAAATAATGGAATCGAGAATACAATAAACTTGAAAAATTGGAGACTTGTACATTAGTCTCAAAATAGATATTTGATGCTTAAGTGCTCAAATATTAATTAGTAATATTATCGATATAAGAATTTCTTAGAGATTTTGCGTTATCGCGCTTAAATTGGAAATATGAGTTTTCACATGCGCGATTTAATTGAAAGACTTTAGACTCTTAGCTAGAGGCAAGTAAGAATGAATAATATTTATATGAAAATAAGTGCATTAGAGGTTTAGTGCACTAGTGCAACAAACTTAAGAGGAATCGAGCACAAAACGCGCGCACTTTTGCGGTTGACTTTTGTGCACCCAATCCTTAGTCATTAACCTTCCTTTGGAAGCCTCATTTTAGACCACAATCTCTCTCTTGCTCCCTCATCTGGCTGGCTAACAAAGAGAGAAAAACAACTCAAGAGCTCTTCAAAATTTCTTCAATTCCTTCACCAAATCTCCCTCCAATTCACCTCAAATTTCAATCGTAATTAACTAATCACTTGGAGAACACATCAAGCTAGGAAAGAGGGCTGCTATCCACGGTTTTCTTGAGTATCTAAGGGGCCGAAATTTTTGTCTAGTTTATCAAGGGAGGTAATGGACGATTGACCTTGATAATCTTAAGTTATGGAAGTTCTATTGCACTTATAAGCTTGTATATTTACATGGGTAGCTTTATTTATGTTGGATTTTGGTGTGTGGGCTCTATGAACTCCCACAATGACTTGAGGATTGATTTCATGAGTTTTGATATTATTAATGTTGGTTTAGTACTTAAATTAGTGGAAATAAGTTGTATTGATGAAAGGAAACTCAAATGAGGTGAAGAGCAAAAATATTCCGATTCTGTCCTTATAAATTTCGTGCACTTTAGTGTAGGTTTTTGAGGTTCTAATGACTTTTTTACGATGTATACATGTTATATGAGTTGTGTAGAAAGTTTCATTGAAAAATAACATGGGGCTTGTTTGGAACCTGAGTTTTTTGGGAGTTTGTCTAAAACTTTACTGTAGTGCACTGTAGAAGTTTTTAAAAAAATTTTGTAGAAGTTTTGTAAGGTGAAAAACTTTTTTTGTAGAAGTTTTTGTAAGGTGAAATTTTTTTTTCCTTTTTTTTTTCTCTTTCTCTCTCTCTTTCTTTTTCGTTCTTTCCTTTTTCTTTTCTTTCATATCTTCTTCTTCTTCATCCCAGCAGCAACGCAATGCAGCCTCCCATCAGCCCAGCAGCCTATTCCACCCCCTACTCCACCACCGGCCCCACCTCCAGCACCTCCGCCAAGGCCTCCTCCAGCCCCTCCTCCCATGCCTCCACCTGCTCCACCTCCGGCACCACCACCAATGCCACCACCAGCCCCACCTCCTGCACCACCACCTGCTCCTCCACCAGCACCTCCTCCAACGCCACCACCAGCACCAGCACCACTACCTGCACCTCCTTCAACTCCAGCACCACCATCGGCTCGTCCACCAGCACCTCTTCCAATGCCACCTCCCGCTACCCCTTTCTTCCCTTTCCCCTTCTCCTCCCCTTTGCCCTTCCCCCTCCCTCTTCCCTCGCCAGGCAGTCAAGGCGCAACTCCTCCACAAGCCAGTCAACTTTTTTTTTTTGCAATTTTCAGCCTTCCTCTCCCATCCCCCTCCCCGCAATCTGGTGCGTGGAAAAATCCCCCTCCCCGATGCTATCTAGCCTCGCTACCAGATCGGCCAGAGGGGAAGAGGAAGGGTGATGGGGGAGGAGTAGGAGAAGGGAATATTTTTTTTTAAAAAAAAAAGGGTTATACAAATTGCCGATAAAGGGAGAGGATGGCAAGGGAAGATGACATGGAGAGGGAGAAAGGCAAAAAAAAAAGAAGGAAATGTAGAGGCCGCGCCGGACGTGGTGGTTGGCGACGGAGGTGGTAGTAGGTTGGGATGGGGAAGGAAGAAGAAAAAAAAGGGAAGGAATTTTTTTTTTTTTTTTTGTGTTTTGGGTATTTTGAAGTGTGTCGGTAAAAAACTTTGAGAAGTTTTTTGGGATCCTGTAGCAAAAGTTGTTAAAAAACTAGTAGGTAAAAAACTTGCTTAAAAACCTGGCTTCCAAACAGACCCAGGATTTGGTTGATCAAATGTGATGATTTCAAAAGTGTAGCAAATCTGGAAACTATTCCCGTATTCATCCAGGCAATGTTTTTGTTTCGGCTATATCTTCTTATTCCGATATCAGAATCGAGTGTCATTTGTGGAACTGGAAACTAGACATTCCCAGCTTTCCAACAGTATAAAATGCACGTTCTGGTTCCATTTGAATGAGCCAAACCATTCGTTTGAAATCCACTGTCCTGTTTCGTTGCTTCCTGAAAGGCAGCACATGAGCTGCAACTCGATGCTCACGAATGAGCTGGTTATGGACAGATTTTGAAAATGGTTTCTTCTGAGAAAATATAGCCTTATGAGTCTAGTTTTCAATGCCACCAACCATGCTCAATTACAAGTTGAATTGAGTGCGTTGTGGCCATATTTCGAAACTGATGCAGTGAGTAAAAATCCTCTTTTGACTAGTTAAATGGCCTAGCTTGATTTGGGACTTTTTGTTTTGGAAACTTCGATGTCAAACATCTACCAAACTTTATATTAGATGTTCCTTGGACTTTGTTTCACAAATAAACCAGATTTGGGTTGGTTGCATTGGACAAAATGTTTAAAAAGGAAAGAAGAGCTAGAAGACAGTTTTGCCATGGGAAATTTCTTGAATTTTGATGGTTTAGTTAACTACCTTCCAGTGTGAAATTTCAAATAAAATTTGATAGAGGAGTGGTCCTCATATGGAGGTTTAATTGTACAAAATTTGGTGATATTCTAGGACCATTTTGATATCCAAATGATGTCCCGAAATTACTCTTCAAATCTGGGAAACTTTTTCTTTTCTCTTAGTTGAATGGCCAATCTTGACTTGGAACTTATTATTTCGAAATTTTTGGTGTTAATCACCTAAGAAAATGTATCTTGAATGTTACTTAGACATTGTCTACACAAATGCACCATGTTTGAAAATATTCCATTAGCCAAATGATTTAGAAAAGGGAAATGGTAGCACAAGGCAGCTTTGCCTCGAAAATTTAGAAATTTTCATGACTTTGTTAACCGACTTTCCATACGTATTTTTCCATGAAATTCAACAGAGGAATAGCCCCTATATGGTAGTGTAACACTACCAAATTTGGTGCCATTTCAAGTCCGTTTCAATGTTCAACCAACGTCCCAAAGTCAATGATTTAAATCTGAAAAATAGGCCAACGGTCTCATTTTTCAGCAACTTTGAGCTGCCATATCTTGGTGCTCAAAATCCCAATTCTTGTTCCGCTTATTTGGTTCTAAACTTCAATTGCAATCTAATTGAGTTTCAAATTTGAGAGGCTATTTCATATTGTGTGAATTTTACCGAATTTCCAAAGTTGCCCAAAAATCAACCTTGAAACTGTCTTAGTATTCTACAACAGTAACTTTGGGCCAACTTTTGAATACCTTCCGTTTGGAATCATGAAAAAGTGTTTTCTAGAAGCTTTTAGTACTTTGGAAGTATTTCCAACGGTACCAAGTTTTCTAAATTTGGACTCATAGAGAGTGAGATCTGATTTTTCAAAATTTGCTTGCTGAATCTGAAATTTTTGAACTTAAAGGAAATTGAGGGTTTCAAACTCTCCATTTTCCTCCGATATTGTTAGACCGTTTTACACTTGATTTCAAAGGCGAAAATCAAATTTCTCTTGTGCTTTTGAAAACCACTTCCGAGCCTCGATTATAAATAATTAATGCTCAATTTATGAACCTTCTCGATAAGTAAGGGATTTTAAGCGATAGTGTGTAATGGACAACTATTGTTTGCTCAGGCGCGCAAGGAGACCTTCAAGAGGATCTCGAGGAGAACACCTGAAAGATAGTATACGCACTTACTCTTTTGTTGCAATAGGTGAGTGTTCCATATAGGAGTACGTAATTTGAATAAGTCTACGACATGCTTATTCCATGATCATTAAGTGTTAAGTGTTACATGTTGAGTATTTACCACACTCATGCATATTTAAGTAAGGTATACTTGAATTACTCGACATGAAATACTTAATTTGGATATTTATGTGATGTGTTTAAATGATTAATTATGCTATGGCTGCATAAGTCGGTTGGAGTAAATCTCCTCGACTCTTAAGTGGTAAAAGTGAGAAACGGCCAATGGTAGCCTATTAAAATGACTAATGTTTACCAATTAACCGTAATTACTACCGTTAACCGTCAACCGCTACCGTTAACCGTCAACCGTCAACTGTCAACCGTCAACCGTTAACCGTTAACCGTTAACCGTCAACCGTTAACCGTTAACCGTTAACCGTCAACTGTTAACCGTTTACCGTAATTACTTACCGTTTTCCTATCTACTTGATTATCTGGTACTTGATTACTTGATTATCGTAAATTACATGTTCACATGAAATTATCAAATATTGCTTACGTGTTTATGTGTTAATTGTTGCTAGTAATTGCTCATATGAAATTATCCACCATTTTAAGGCGAGTGTGTACTTTATCTCACTCGACCTACCAAAAGAATAAATTTTACCGTTTGCCAAGTTATTTGATTACTTGTGCACGTTGTAAGTTCTAAGCAGAACTTGGGCCCTGCCCTTGGTTACTGACCTACTCGAGTCAGGACTGGACTCGGTCAGGTAGGTTGGAACCCTGAGCCACCGTTTCGCTATACTCGAGTATTACTACTGGAGGGATAAGGCGATGGCCAGACAGTACCGTGGGGATCGGAAGTTATAAGGTGCAGATGACCGAAATGGTTCCAATGGAACACCGTATCCGTTAATGTGTGTTTATTTTACGTAATGATAACCGTTTCATATAAATATGCCATACTTGTGATATGCTCAAATTACCCGTACAATGATTATTGTCTCATGTTAATATGCCAATGTGCAACCTTGAACCATACATGCAGTATGATCAATTACTTGATTTATTAGAACTGCTAGAGTATCTTGGAACCTCACTGGGCTGTGTAGCTCATCCCACGTTTTGGGTTTCTTTAACAGGGTTCGAGACCAAGAATGCTTGTGAATAGTACTAGATTGCCTTCTTTTGAAAACTTTAAGTTGTATTACAGCAGATGGCTGTAGTAAATATTCTTTTGGGATGTATTAAGCTTGAGAGCTGATTAATTGTAAGTGTGAGATATTTTGGAGTACTTTTATTATGTATTGAAGTTATTTGAAATATTATTGAAGTATTCCGAGCTTGTGAATTGTGGATTTTAGTGAGTCCTGACGAGAGTTGGGCAGGCGTCCCGCGGATACCCTTTGGTTCGCTTTAGGGAGAAGTGGGGGCGTCACAGTTGGTATCAGAGCTTAGGCTTTAGATCTTTGTAGTGTATCCTAGGTTTAAAAGTTTAGGATGCCGGACTGTGGGACTGGTTTGGAAGTTAAGTGACTATTTGTAGGAATGAAAATCAGAGCCACTTTACGTGGTCTCTGCGTGGGGTGATTTTGGACCAAGTGGTGTTATGGTCCTTACTATGTGATTGAGGAAAAACTTAAGTACCCTTCTAGAAATGTAAACTGTGAATCATGAATGTAAAATGTTTTAAAACCTTTATCTTGATCCTTGGAGAAAATTTGATATGTATGTCGAGTAGGAATCTCGAACGTGGTAATTTACTCTTGGGACCGGCCGGCTCAAGTTGTGAATTACTTTATTTCGGATTCTTGTACCCGAGTACTCGAAAGTAGAGGGCAATCCTAAGGACTCGAGATCTCTATTTGTGGGGAATAAGAATGAATCGATATTTTACGTGAATATTTATAGGAAACCAATAATTGTTTGGCTATGACAGTACAATAATTAAGAGTGGGACGCGGAGAAGATCATAGCCCAAATGATCCTTATGTTGGGATTGAAGCTGAACATGTTAGGGAATGGGAATCATCTAGTTCCAATTAATCTAGTGAAACACTACTTGTGATCTTTTGTAATGGGACGATGAGAGTAGAACTTAAGAGTTTGTGCCTTGGAGATGAATTTACTTTTGATAATCACTTGTTTACTTTTGTTTATTAACTTTGACTTGATATGAGTTTTACTTGACTAAAACTTGTGTTATGATTTAATGAGATTTATTTTGTGTTTACTTGCATAGTGATAATGTTATTTGTGTAAGTGATTTCCTTTTCTTTAAGAGTTGTTACTGGTATGTGTGAGTAGTTCATATTATGGTTTAGTGTGAGATTTATGCATATGCATATAGATTAGCTGTGAACATGGAAACTGAAGGACAACGAAAAGGACGTCAACCTAGACAACCCCAAAATCAAAGAGTGAATAATGGATCTGATATTGATCAAAATGCCAAGCCAAGTGCTGGGAGAGGAAATGATCAAATGGGAGTAGTTTTAACTCGCATGACGGATATACTAGACCTCTTAGTAGCACAACAAGGTCAAGGGATTGGACAAGGAAACCAAGAGATAGGGGAGGATCGAGCTTTAGAACGGTTTCAGAAATTCTCCCCGCCCAAATTTTCTGGAGGACTTGACCCAGAAGTAGCTCAGAATTGGTTAGAGAATATAAGGAATATATTCGATGTCTTGGATTACACAGAGGAAAGACAAGTCACTTTTGCTGTATTTCAACTTGAAGGAGCGGTCCGAGCCTGGTAGAATGTTATAAGAAATAAGTGAGAAAGAGATCAAACTCCGAGAATTTAGATAAACTTTGTGCATGAGTTTAATGAGAAATTTCTCTCTCCGCTTGTCCAAGAAAAAAGAGAAGACGATTTTATAAAGCTTCATCAAGGAACTTTAAGTGTGGCTGAGTATAAAACACGCTTCACGAAGTTATCTACATATGTTCCAGAATTGGTGGCTACTGAAGGGAAGAAAATAAGACGATTTATCCGGGGATTAGATTTAGAAGTCCAAGATACCCTTGCCGCAACACACAAATTGAAATATTTAGTTACGCTCTCGAGAAAGCGCAAAGGGTAGAGAGTGTAAAATCCTAATTGACGGCCTTTCAAGCGAAGAAAAGAGATACATCTGATAATAGATCCAGAAAAATTGGACCACCACCCAAAGTTAGAAAAGGAGAGGATGGGGTAAGACTATCACTCCCTGCACCATTCATGATAAAGGAACCAAAAGGAACTATGTCACGGGGAACTCCAGTCGGACAGATACAATCAAAG